AATCTAATGCTTTAGATTGTGAGATCTAAGGGTCAGGATTGCATCAAAATTAGGTTCACCAAAATGATTTGAAAATGCATCATGTCGAAATGCACCAAAATTCTTTGAAAATGCACTATCTGAAAATCTGAGTGCACGATGCAATCTGAGCCGCACGATGCATCAGATCCAAAGGTTAGATTTTATTCTTATTTCTTTCACCAAGGTGCATTCTCACCTGAACCGCCCCATATATATATATATATATATATATATATATATATATATATATATATATATATATATATATATATATATATATATATATATATATATATATATATATATATATATATATATATATGTATGTATATATATATATATAAAAGCTTTGGACGCCCCTTGTGCATCTGGTGCCCAAAAATTAGATAAGTAATTTGAGAAGATATTAAATAGACTCATACACAAAGAATTTTGGATTTATCAAGATGTTATTTTTCCCTTTGACCGAATATACACCAATGACCTCCCTTTTGCTTTAAGGATGAGTCTTCTCTCTAAGCTTGGATTGGAGCAATTGGTGACAGACAAATTCAATGAAGCACATAATTTCATTAGTAGCAACTTTTGTAATTACACAGCTAATAAGTGTAAACATCTACTAATATAAGTGAAGAAATATTTCTATAATACTTCCGTGTCTCACAATTTTTGTCTTAGTTTGATTTCACAAAGTATAAGAAAAATATCAAAAAGTGGGAAATAAGTGATTGAAATTTGATTAGAAGAAAAATACAAATTATGAATTACATATTCATTACTAAATTAGATAAGTAAAAAAGTAGGACACATTTCTGGAAGGAGCTAAGGAGATGATTAATTCGGGAATGAGGGATTGAATGCTAAGGGTTAAATATGTTTTTGATCCATGTGAATATAGCAAATTTTCCTTCTGATACCTCTAAAATATAGATACGGATCAAATTAATTTCTCATACATCTTCTGTGTGCCTGAATCTGGCGGCTTCAAACCCCTTATGTTCATTCAATTCTTTTTGATATTTTTTTCTCTATTGAATCAGATCACACTGTCAATATCGTCATCACCTCGGCAAATAAGGGAATGGAAAGATTTCACAAATTATGAGCACATATGAGAAAAAATATTGAAAGTAGGAACCCACTTGGAGAATATTATATTATGAAAAATGTCTAACACAAACAAGTAGCAAAGAAGAAATAATTAAGAAATAAATTTAGTGAGTCATTTAAGTCAAAAGAGTTATAATTCAACCCTAAAGACTCTTCTTTTTTTCTTCTATGCATAGGAAGTTTAACTTTTTATATTTTTGAAAAACAGAAGTTATATGTTCATAACTAAAAACAGTACATTTGATTTTAAATTATAGAGAAAAACAAATGTACAAGTAATCACATACTTTTGATTGGCATAAAATAACAATTATTGACCTAAAAAGTAAAAATTTATTGTGTTCAAATCATGTTAGTAAATCAGATCAACTAAAAATTCAGTCTTTGAGGAGTGTAATGCGCAGTTGAAAAAACGTTAGTCACTATCTGAATGATTAAACATATACCAATTCAACTAACGAACGGAACCCCCACCAATTACTAAGATTGCTCGAGGACGATTCCACTCGGTGGACAAAGTCTTTACTTGTTGAATTATAAGTTATTCGTGTTAATTGTAGTTGCTTGCCATGGATAGAAAAAATGCAATATTTCTAAGTAGGAGACCTTTAAATAACCAGCACGTTTGCCAGAAAGTAATGATACGGAATAAAGTTAGAATACCATTACTTGGTTAGTTTGTGTAGATGTGTCATTGGTACTTGACTTTATGAAGCCTTCAGAGGATCAGAGGTACAAATTGGGCGAGTGAGTCATAGTGTTGCTCTTGCTGGAGAAGGTTTTTAATTACTGCTATGTTGGATGAGCTCCTGGAATGTAATTGTTAATGGTGAGTATTGGTAGTGTGCGTTTTAAAAGGGATGATAATTGAGGAATATGATTACCATTCACTTAGAGAACGTGCTTGAGAGGTAGTTGGAATCAATTGTCAAGAAATTGTATCATTTCAAAAGTATATAGAATCTATCAAATGTGCATCAGTTTAAGATCAGAGCATTCCTTGATTTCTTTATAAAATGTCAAACCATAAATTTGTAGATTATTATCTAGGATCTATCAAATGATTTTCAACTCACGAGCATAAACAACTTATAAATTGAAATGGGTGGAAGTGGTTTTGATCTTTTTTCAACCTTCACATTCAAGCTTTGGGTTGTCTTCAATCATAGAACCTGAAATGTCAAATTCACAAAAACAAATTAAATTGGATAAAGACGGCCAATAGATAATTTTTTAAGCAATAGTAAACAAATTTGGATTCATATTTTTCAACAGCAATAATCAGAAGATAGCAATTTTTTGATAGAATTCGGTTTTTAACTTCTTCAAAATCGAAAAAATTTCCACTACTTATGCAAATGATAATTACATGGCTCTTTTGTTGGGTGTTATGAATCAAATCAAGGAGAGTTGTTATATCTCAGAGTTAAACTGTTTCCAAACCTTCCAAAGTAAAGCTTTTTAATAACATATGCATTTAGCAAGCCAGCCTATAAGAAAAGAAAATCAAATATTATAACCACATAAATCAACTATGCAAAATATCTCACGTCACGTTGCATAGAATGGGCGAGAAACTGAACAACTCCGAGGAGAGTGCTCAAAATAACTAAATTGAAAATTTCCAAATAATGGCACAACCACTTCTGAGTTTATATTGGACAAACCAAAGTCTTGAACTACATTGAACAAGACTATAGATGTTTCATCATTTACAACTCCTTCTCCAAAGACTAAACTATAGAGTAAAGGTGTTTCATCCTGATTGAGTACCTACACAATCAAAAAAAGTACATAAGTATGGGTAAAAATGTTTACTGCTCCTACCTTCCACAAGAATAAGAGCAACAAACTTACTTGCAATGTGCACATAGAATCTGTTGCAGAGAAAATGACTGCAGTTGCTGGATACAGACGAACAAAAATTGATTCGAAAGAAACGCCAAAAAGTATATCAACATGAAAAAAGGCTTGTGAAGGAGGTAGATTACCAAGATAATCTCTTAACTCAAGATTGTCAACATTCATTTTCTCGAAGATGCCAATGGCTCCTGGTAAATACAAACTGCATTACAATTTTATCATAATAGTGTAAACAATTAATCATATTATTCTAAAATTGTGCATAAACCTTTATAGATTTATCCTTAAATTTCTAAATGATACACCAACAGAAGATAAACCATACTAAATGGTCATCTTGGCATCATTTATTTCATTATTTTTAAATTCTAAGGAAACTCTAATATGGCTATCCATGTTTCATGATAAATAACATTATGGCTAGTTAATGGATTCCTTATAGAATAAGCATTGAACAACATGAAGTAGATAAAGGTGGCCAACATATAATTTTGTTAGCAATAGAAAACAAATCTTGATGCATATTTTTTCAACTGCAATAATTAAAATATAGGAATTTTTTAAATAAATTAGAAAAGTTCTCGAAGAACTTGAAGGTAGTCAGGGGAACGTAGGAAACGAAGAACAAAATCAGAGAAGGAGAGTAACTGGCGGAAGTATATACGAAGCAGCGATACACGGGCAACTATCTCATTATAAGATTGGGAAAATCCAAATCAGAATGTCAAAGAGAGAAAAGATAGGAAGAAGAAGAAGAAGACGACGACAACGAAGAAGAAAGAAGAAGAAGAAGAAGACGACGACAAAGAAGAAGAAGAGAGAAGAAGAAAAGGGGTGTATCTGGTAGGCGAAGAGGCTAGAGAAAATAGAAACTTTGTGAAAGAGAAATAAGCCACCGCCCCCACGCAGCAGTGGAGTTGGTACATTCCTAGAAATAGAAATAGGTACATCCAGTTAGTATTCATTCTGAAATAAAGTAGTACTCATTTTCGTACAAATATAAATATTCATTTCGAAATACGTAGTACTCATTCTGACAAATGTAGTACTCATTTTAAAATAAAGTACTCATTTTTACACATTTGTCTAATATAATTATAATAAATAGCGTAGTGTTCATTCTTAAAAAAACAATACTCATTCTCAAATAAGGAAATGTTCATTCTGAAATAAAGTATTGTTTAATTTTTTCACAATTAAAAAGTTCAGTACCATCATCAACTTCTTCCTCTATTCGATTCTTTCCTACTCATTTATACTCTCTGAGCATGGAGAATTTAAACCCAAGTTTATTCATGTTTGTATTGAATAAGAATATGATAATTCTCATAAGTGGTGGTACTTCTTCTCAAATCTGCTGGTACTCATTGTTATATATAATAGTTCTCATATATATTCTGGGCATTGGATAAAAAGTTTGCAAAATTTACAAAAATATCAGGCTGTACCTAAAGGAAGATACAGCTGGATGTACCATATAATTTGCCCGCAGTAGTGCGATGTACAGTACACACGGTGTAGATAACTAGCGTTAAAAATTAAACGGTAAAAAGACTATGTTGGATGCAATAGACTCTTATTATACATAAGTATTAAATAATTTCGGTATTCGGTTTTTACCGAAATATTGGTTCCAAATTTTGTACTGAACCGAAAATCGATTTTTTCAAAATATGAGAACCGAATAATGAACCAATTATTTGGTTCGGTTTCGCTACGTACCAAATTTTTCGGTTTTGGTTCGGTTCGGTCGGTTTACCAAATTGTGCACACCCCTAGTTACAAGTGGAGTGCAAAGTACTCTTACTTATAGTAAAGGGCTGTTTGACAACTTCTGAATATGTAAGTGCTGAACCAATAAGAGGTCTAAACCTTTAAGTGCTGAACCAGTAAGAGGTCTGAACCATTAAGAGCTAGTATATTACTTAACAATTCAGAGGCAAATGTCTGATCAATTCAGATAAGAAGTCTTAACCATTCAGACTCTGTATAATACTTAACCATTCAGAGGCAAATATCTGAACCATTCAGACATCTGAACCATTAAGAGGCTGAAGCAAACAGTCTGAACCATTAAATGCTGAAACATTCAGACATCTGAACCATTAAGAGGCTGAAACAAACAGCCCCTAAGAGTTAACTAAGGTCAACCCAAACTTTTTGAGGACATTTTTGACAAGAATTAAGCTAGGGGTACACCAACATGGGTACCCCAAGTGTACACCAAAGCCAACACAGATACACACAGACACAAAGTGTCTGTGTTGCACAGACATTTTGTGTATGTGTGTCTGTGTTGGCTTGGTGTAGGGTACCCATGTTGGTGTAACCCTAGCATTGCCCTTTTTACAACAGCCGCTAAATCTTCACGCCCTCATTTTTGAGAATGCTGACACTGTTTAAACATCGGAGCGGGCCCTCTGAATTTGTTTAATTTCCGTCTAGCTCTTTCTTTCGGGGTGTTTTTCCTTCCATCTTCTTCTCTTCCAAGCCCTCGTTGTTTTTCTTCCATCTTCTCTTCGACGCTCAGGTACTGCGCTTTCCCTTTCCATTTCTAAGCTTTTTTTACTTCTTCACTCCGCAATATGGCACCCACTCACTCCATTTTGGTATAGCCATTCCCTTCTTCAGTTCTTGAATCGGGAAGAGTTGGCCTTATAAACGTCAATTCAAGAGTAAAATAACCGGTATATAAGCTCTTGAGTTGGACTAACTAATCGATTGGATTCAATCTTTTAATGTGGTTCAACTCAAATGTCTTATAGCCCAATCCAGTTATCCCTACTCCATCCTAAATTCTATCATGGTATCAGAGCCAGTTTTAGCCCACCTCGTTTGTCAAGGTGTCCGTCTAGATGTTCATTCCTAGCGGCCCGTTAGTCTTTAGCCCAATTGTCCGTATGGATGTTGTACCCAACGGCCTGTGGCCTGTTTAACACGATTGCTCGTTTGGAAGTCCATACCCAGCGGCTCGTGGTCCTTTAGGTGTTGGCGCTCAAAAAAAAAGTCAAGGGAATGGGAGTTAATTTGCAAGTGGTCAACCGGTTAGATTCAAAATGGCCCGGTTGTCCACTTGAGGGGGAGTGTTAGAGTGCATCCCACATCGGAAATTCAAGAGTAAAATAACCGGTATATAAGCTCTTGAGTTGGACTAACTAATTGATTGGATTCAATCTTTTAATGTGGTTCAACTCAAATGTCTTATAGCCCAATCCAGTTATCCCTACTCCATCCTAAATTCTATCAGTTTTGTATATTCAGAGCAACTTAATTCGGGTTTTCATTCCCTCCCAATAGTTATTTTTTTTTGTGAAAAGGTTAAGGATATTGCACAGACGAATCAAGAAATTAAGTTAGCAAGCGGAATCTGTGTTATATGATGTTTGACGGCTCTCACTGATCCCTTCTGCTTGATTAGTGGTGGTTTTTTTAAATTCGCAACTTAAGTGTCCCTTGCATATTTGATGTTTCCCCCTTTTTCAGGCCTGTCAGCGGAAGGAGGGAGAAATGTATTCTGCTGTGTAGAAATTGCTCTGGTTCTCCTTGAAATAGGTTTTCTTTTGCCCAATTCTGATTTGGGGCTTACCCTTTTTCTTTTTTTTGGTTTGGTGTCTTGTTGATGATCTATGTTATATTTCTTCTTCTTGAGACATTCATTTGATTTTCAACTATTAATTGGATGTATCTTTTTCGAAACTAGAACAGAGAACAAAATTTGATTTTCTGAGATGAGAATAATTAATTCCCTTATTTGGTGTTAAATTTCAATATTAAGCAAAACGTTAATGCTTGGTGGTCTGAGAGATGAATCCTTCTTTTTAGTATGTTTACCATGTGTTTCCTGGGACTTCATGTGCTTATTCATCAGTCATAACTGATTGCCATACTATTAGGCTTGTCAACTGACACCAAGAAAACATGACCACAATCAGTAAAGTCTGTTTAAAGATGGGTATGATATTAGACTTGAAGAAGAGATTTAGAATTTTAATATATCTCTTTGAGTTTTTGTGCAAGGGGAATGGATTTCATTCAATGTCTTTTCTATCATAAATTTGCAGCTAATGTTAGAAAGGAAATTGTGAATAAGGGAATGGATGAAAGAGTTTGTAATGGATCTACACCACGAGAATTATGTGTACTCAACCTAAGTTTCTTATAATTCAGCTTGGCTTAGAAGATGATCTCTATATTACTTAGAGTGGTGCATTTGGAACTTGTAAAAGGCTAGGGAAAGAAAATAGGGAGGAAAATGTGGAAGGGAATAAAAATACTTAAACTCCTAAAAGGTTTGAGATATTTGCTCACTCATTTTATGTGCAGTTAAGTGTATGAGAAAGTTTATTGATTTTCTTATTTTAATTTTCTGTCTGGCCTTGTGCATTTAATTGTATGCTAACGTGTACTAATTTTCTTCTTTTAATTCAGTGTCTACACGCAAGAAACCATCTGGTGCTCCATTGCAAGTGTAGTAGAAAGGTGATTTGTTGTTCAAGAGGTACTTTTTTTGTGAATACTATACACCCTTTTTGTAAATAAATATAAAAACAAAACAAAAAACTAATGTATGTAAATGTTAAAAATAGGCTAGTACAAGCCTCTCTTTTGTAAGAAGAAAATAGTATGCAATGAGTACATGTAAATGATGAGCCTTTACTTTGTAAAACGCTAAATCCTTAGTTATACTACATTCACATCATACAGTGGGGAACCATCTGTGCACAAGCACATTCCTGGCTAGTTTAACCAGTAAGGTTTCTACAACTATTTTGTTCGTTGGCTAGGGTTTATTTTCTGTCTAGGGTTAATTTCTCTTCTCCTAATGTTTTTTAAGGTAATTAGAACCCTACTGATTCACTGAACTTTCCCTAAAGACCTAAAGAGAGTCAATTAATCATGTTGAAAATATTACTCCCTCCCTCACGTATTTTTATGCTCTTCATTTCTTCAACACGTGAGGCTCAAACCTTTGAAACATTTTCTTTAACTGTAGCAGGCATTGAGGAAGATTTTTCAAAGAGGAAAGATATGGCTGACGGCCTACTTTTCAACATTGTGACGGGGATCCTCAGTAAACTTAATTCCATGGCACTTGCAGAGATGGCAGACGCCTGGCATTTCAAGGATCAACTCAACATGCTCACCGAGACAGTCACAACAGTGAAAAGTGTCCTATTGGATGCTCAAGAGAGGCAGGAAGAGAGCCAAACTATTCGGGATTGGCTTCGAAGGCTCCAATCTGTTGTCTACAAGGCTCATGAATTGTTTGAAAAGATTTCCGCTTTGATCTCCAAGAAAGAGGAGATCAACAAGGGCCAAGTATTTTTTTCCAGTTCGAATCAGATAGTATGTGCCTTCTCCATTTCTCACAAGATAAAAAGAATCAGGTCTGAGCTAGATGGCATCGTCAGGGATGGTAATCTGTTCTCTTTTGTGCTAAGAGGCTGTGAAGAAAGAGGAGTACACTATATGAAGCGAGATAGAGGCCAATCTCATTCTTTCGTTGATGCAAATGATGTTATTGGTAGAGACAATGATAAAAATGCAATGCTAGAGAGACTTCTGGTTGAAGATGATCATGCGACTGTTGTGGCCATTGTTGGAATGGGTGGCTTGGGCAAAACTACTCTGGCTCAAGTCCTATTCAATGATGATGCAGTGGAGAAGAACTTTGATTTACGGTTATGGGTCTGCGTGTCGGAGGATTTCGATGTCCATATGATTTGTAGATTGATCCTCATGTCCGCAACCAAAAGGGAATCTCCAAACTTAGATATGGATCAGGTTCATAGCCACTTGAGGAGAAAAATTAGTGGAAAGAAGTACCTCCTTGTATTGGATGATGTGTGGAGCGAGGACCGGGCAAAGTGGCTCAAGTTGCACCGCCTACTCAAGTGTGGCAAATCAGGAAGCAAGATAATGGTGACCACACGATCGAAGCGGGTGTCGAAAGCTTTGGGAGCTTTTGATTCATATGAGTTGCAAGGGTTGTCACATGAGTTTTCTTGTGATTTATTTAAAAGGATGACATTTGAGCCCGGAGTGGAGGACATCAATGGTCGACTAGTGGATTTAGGGAAGGAAATCGTTAATAAATGTGGGAATATTCCTTTGACTATAATAGTCATAGGAAGTCTTTTGTATGGGGGAGATGAAAGAGTATGGTTGTCCATCTGTGGATCTTTTGCCAAAGTATTAATAGAAAATGATGTTATGCCAATTCTGAAAATTAGTTACAATGTATTGACTTCACCATTGAAGACTTGTGTTGCTTACTGTGCGTTCTTTCCGAAGGATTATGAATTCTCAAAGGAAGAACTAATCAGTTTGTGGATGGCAGAGGGCTTCCTCAATGCACCAGATGGAAGTGGGGGCAGGCTGGAAGAAGTAGGTGACGATTATTTTTTCACTTTGGTGCAGAAGTGCTTCTTTTAGGATGTGAAGTTTGATGAATTCGGAAATGTCATAGGTTGCAAGATGCACGATTTGTTACATGATTTGGCCATATACGTTGTAGGACCTGAAACTAAAGTGGCGTTGTCAGAGGACATGAGGATAGAAAAGGGGATCCGTCGCTTGTCCTTGGGATATGTTCTTAATTCAACTCAGGATGTGCCAAGTCGTCTATGGGATTTGAAGTTCCTACGTGCGTTACTTTTGCCACTGCAGCCTGTCAACATATTGCCCTCCGAGTTATGACTGTATCAATCACTGTTAAGTTGATCGGTACGATGAATTAGGCCAAAGGCTTCCAAGTGCGCGATTGAGTGACCTGAGAAATCTGAATGGCCTAAGAGGAAGATTGGACATTTTTTTAATAGGAGAAATAAAAGACCTAACATTCGAAGCTAATGAGGCGGACTTGAGTAGCAAGCATGCTTTAAATGAGTTGCAGATAGAATGGATGCTGCCTGAGTCGCAAAATGAAGGGCGTAATATAAGGCGGAGTGCCATTGAAAATGCCAAATGTATTCTTGAAGGCTTGAAACCACACAGTAATTTGAAATCATTGACAATCACAAACTACTTTGGGGGGAAGCTCCCAAGTTGGGCATCAACGGGCAATTCTCTTTTGGTTGAGATTCGACTCATCAATGTTGGGAGATGCCAACTCCCTTCATTCAGCAATCTACCTGCCCTCAAACGACTAGCTGTGCAGATGTCGTCCGTGAAATTCATGGAGCATCAGGAGGATCCCTCTACAACAACATTTTTCCCATCTCTTCAAAGGCTTGAATTAATTGAAATGAGAAACCTGGAAGGATGGATGAATGTACAGCCAAATCCTCACTCAAAGGTTTCATTTGTTAGTCTATTGCATTTGGACATAACTGATTGTCCTAAGCTGAGCTTCTTTTCGGCATGTCCAAATGTAAAACATTTGTTTTTAAGGGGAATGGGTGAGGCCAACTATGGGTTTGTGAAGGCAATAAGTCTCAGAGAGAAGGCGTATCTGGGCATAGACAACTCCCTATGCCTCATGTCCTTTCCGAAGGAAACGTTTCTGCACAAACTGTCTTGCATCGAGGTGTTAGGTGATTACAAGTTAACAAGCACTCAGAATATCCGGGAAATCCTCACAGCCAATAATCTCCCATCCCTCCAGCATTTACGATTCATTTATTGCAAGAACTTGCAGTCTGCAGCATCAGGTTTGGAGAAACTCGCTGTAGAGGCATTGACCTTTAATTTTTGTCTAAATCTTGACTTTTCTGAAAATGGGATGCAATGGAAAGCATTGAATATTAAACCTCTTCGAACTCTACAGTTGCTTGGCTTGCCTAAAACAGAGAGTCTTCCCAGTGGGATGCGGTTCTTGACCAACCTACATACCCTGCATCTTGCACTCGGGAATTTAAAAAATTTGCCCGAGTGGATAGGCTGTCTATCGTCGCTTCAATGTCTCGAACTTGAGTTTTGCTGCAAGCTCACATAGTTTTTCAGAATTGGCATAACATCATTTTCTATGGCATAACACCATACTCTTTCATCTTCCCCATACAAAAGACTTCCTATGACTATTATAGCCAAAGGAATATTCCCACATTTGTTAACAATTTCCTTCCCTAAATCCACTAGTCGACCGTTGATGTTCTCCACTCCGAGCTCAAAAGCCATCCTTTTAAATAAATCCCAATAAAACTCATGTGACAACTCTTGCAACTCATATGAATCAAAAGCTCCCATAGCTTTCGACACCCGCTTAGATCGTGTGGTCACCATTATCTTGCTTCCTGATTTGCCACACTTGAGTAGGCGGTGCAACTTGAGCCACTTTGGCCGGTCCTCGCTCCAAACATCATCCAAAACAAGGAGGTACTTCTTTCCACCGATTTCTCTCCTCAAGTGGCTCTAAACCTGATCCATATCTAAGTTTGGAGATTCCCTTTTGGTTGCGGACATGAGGATCAATCTACAAATCATATGGACATCGAAATCCTCCGACACGCAGACCCATAACCGTAAATCAAAGTTCTTCTCCACTGCATCATCATTGAATAGGACTTGAGCCAGAGTAGTTTTGCCCAAGCCACCCATTCCAACAATGGCCACAACAGTCGCNAACCTGATCCATATCTAAGTTTGGAGATTCCCTTTTGGTTGCGGACATGAGGATCAATCTACAAATCATATGGACATCGAAATCCTCCGACACGCAGACCCATAACCGTAAATCAAAGTTCTTCTCCACTGCATCATCATTGAATAGGACTTGAGCCAGAGTAGTTTTGCCCAAGCCACCCATTCCAACAATGGCCACAACAGTCGCTTGATCATCTTCAAGCAGAAGTCTCTCTAGTATTGCATTTTTATCAGTGTCTCTACCAATAACATCTTTTGCATCAACGAAAGAATGAGATTGACCTCTATCTCTCTTCCTATAGTGTACTCCTCTTTCTTCACAGCCTCTTAGCACAAAGGAGAACATATTACCATCCCTGACGATGCCATCTAGCTCAGACCCGATTCTTTTTATCTTGTGAGAAATGGAGAAGGCACATACTATCTGATTCGAACTGGAAAAAAATACTTGCACCTTGTTGCTCTCCTCTTTCTTGGAGATCGAAGCGGCAATCTTTTCAAACAAGTCATCAGCGTTGTAGATAACAGATTGGAGCCTTCGAAGCCAATCCCGAATAGTTTGGCTCTCTTCCTGCCTCTCTTGAGCATCCAAGAGGACACTTTTCACTGTTGTGACATTCTCGGTGAGCATGTTGAGTTGATCCTTGAAATTCCAGGCGTCTGCCATCTCTGCAAGTGCCATGGAATTAAGTTGTTTGATGATCCCCGTCACAATGTTGAAAAGTATGTCGTGAGCCATATCTTCCCTCTTTGATAAATCCTCCTCAATGCCTGCTACAGTTAAAGAAAATGTTTCAAAGGTTTGAGCCTCACGTGTACCAACCAAACATGGATTTCTGCAAATTGTCTTTAAAAATCATGACACATAATGACTACCCTTTACCCAATACCCCAACCCAGAGACCCACAACCCATAATCAAAATCACAGGCTCTCATATCCCATGATAGAATAAGAAACACTGAGAACCCATTTACAATATCAAATGCTTTGATTCCACCATATTTAATTTTCTGTGGGTGATTGTATACTGTTATTAGTAATAACATTAGTATTTGAGTTAAGTCTTGAGAATATGGCAGGCTTTGGTTTGGCCATTAATATGGGTGATCTAGGCATTAATATGGGAGATTTAGTTTCCTTATTTAGTGGGTGATTGTTTACCACGCATCATACAATCACACCCCCCCAAATGATAGAATAAGAAACAATGAGAACCCATTTACAAGATCACATTCTTTGGTATCCCGTCGTATTTAAATTTTTGTGGGTGATTCCCCCCGGGGGGGGGGGG